TGTCAAGTCAGTTCCAACTCATAGTGACCCTGTGTACAACCGAACAAAACTTTACCTGGTCCCGTATCATCTTCACAATCGTTGCAAAGTTTGAGCCCGTTGCTGCAGCCACTGTGTCAGTCCATCTCTATAAGCATCTTCCTCTTTTCTGCTGACCCTCTACTTTACCAAGCATGATGTCCTTCTCCAGGGACGGGGCCCTCCTGATAACGTTTCCAAAGTACGTAAAATGAAGTCTCACCATCCTCACTTCTGAGGAGCATTCTGGCTGTACATATTCCAAGACAGATTTGTTTGTTCTTCTGGCTGTTCATGGTATATTCAATATTCTTTGCCAATACCATATTCAAAGGCATCAATTCTTCTTCAGTCTCTCTTATTCATTGTCTAGCATTCGCATGCGTAGGAGGCAATCGAAAATACCATGGCTTAGGTCAGGCGCACCTTAGTCCTCAAAGTGACATCTTTGTTTTTTTAACACTTCAAAGAGATCTTTTGCAACAGAATTGCCCAATGCAATACGTCATTTGATTTCTTTGCTGCTGCTTCCATGGGTGTTGATTGTGGATCCAAGTAATATGAAATCCTTGACAACTTCAACATTTTCTCCATTTTTCATGATGTTGCTCATTGGTCCAGTTGTGAGGATTTTTATTTCCTTCATGTTGAGGTGTAATCCATACTGAAGGCTGTAGTCTTTGATCCTCATCAGTAAGTGCTTCAAGTCCTTTTCACTTGCAGCAAGCGAAATTGTGTCATATGCATATTGCGGATTGTTAACGAGTCTTCCTCCAATCCTCATGCCAGGTTCTTCTTCATATAGTCCAGTTTCTCAGATTATTTACTCAGCATACAGCTTTTCTGATTTTAAACCATGCAGTATCCCCTTGTTCTGTTTGAATGATTGCCTCTTGGTTTATGTAGAGGTTCCTCGTGAGTACAATTAAGTGTTTTGGAATTCCCATTCTTTGTGATGTTATCCATAATTTGTTATGATCCACATAGTCAAATGCCTTTGCATAGTCAATAAAACACAGATAAACATGTTTCTGGTATTCTCTGCTTTCAGCCAGGATCCGTCTGACGTCAGCAATGATATGCCTCATTCCACGTCCTCTTCTGAATCTGGCTTGAATTTCTGTCAGTTCCCTGTCGATGTACTGCTGCAACCTTTTTTTAGTTATCTTCAGCAAAATTTTACTTGCATGTGATATTAATGAAATTATTTGATAATTTCTGCTTTCCGTTGGATCACCTGTTTTTGGAATGGGTACAAATATGGTTCTCTTCCAGTCAGTTCTCCAAGTAGCTGTCTTCCAAATATCTTGGCATAGATAAGTGGGCACTTCCAGTGTTGCATCCATTTGTTGAAACATCTCAATTGGTATTCCATCAATTCCTGGAGTCTTGTTTTCCACCAGTGCCTTCAGTGCAGCTTGGACCTCTTCCTTCAGTATCATTAGCTTTGATCATATGCTACTCCTGAAATGGTTGAACATCGACCAATTCTTTTTGGTACAGTGACTCTGTATTCCTTCTATCTTCTTTTGATGCTTTCCTGCATTGATCAATATTTTGCCCATAGAATCCTTTAATATGGCAACTCAAAGCTTAAATTTTTTCATCAGTTCTCTCAGCTTGAGAAATACCGAGCATGTTCTTTAACTCCAGGTCTTTGCACATTTTATTATAATACTTTACTTTGTCCTCTTGAGCTGCTCTTTAAAATCTTCTGTTCAGCTCTTTTACTTCATCATTTCTTCTTTTCACCTTAGTTACTCAAAATTCAAGACCAAGTTTCAGAGTCTCTTCTGACATCCATTTTCGTCTTTTCTTTCTTTCCTGTCTTTTTAATGACCTTTTGCTTTCTTCATGTATGATGTCCTTAGTGGCATCCCACAACTCATCTGGTCTTTGGTCATTAGTGTTCAGTGTGTCAAATCTATTCTTGAGATGATCTCTAAACTCAGGTGGGATATACAAGATCATACTTTGGCTGTTGTGAACTTGTTTTCATTTTCTTCAGCTTCAACTTGAATTTGCGTATGAGCAATTGATGGTCCATTCCACAGTCAGCCCCTGGCCTTGTTCTGACTAGAAACATTGAGCTTCTCCATTGTCTCTTTTCACAGATATAGTCAATTTGATTCCTGTGTATTACATCCTGTGAGATCCACGTGTATGGTTGCCATTTATGTTGTTGAAAAAAATGTATTTCCAATAAATAAGTCATTGGTCTTGCAAAATTCTATCAAGTCATCTCCAGCATTGTTTCTATCACCAAGGACATATTTTCCAACTACAGATCCTTCTTCTTTGTTTCCAAATTTTGCATTCCTGTCACCAGTAATTCTCAATGCATCTTGATTGCATATGTGATCAATTAATTATCAATGCATCTGGATAGCATTATGTGATCAATTTCAGACTGCAGAAGTTGGTAGAAATATCCAATTTCTTCATCTTTGGCATTAGTGGTTGGTGCACGTATTTGAATAATAGCTGCATTGACTGGTCTTTCTTGTAGATGTGCGGATATCATCTTATCACTGACAGCGTTGTTCTTCTGGGTAGTTCTTGAAAGGCTCTTTTGGACGATGAATGTGACATTGTCCCTCTTCAATTGGTCATTCCCAGTATAGTCAATCAAACCCATTGCCGTCGAGTCAATTCTGACTCACAACCACCCTATAGGACAGTAGAACTGCCCCATAGGGTTTCCAAGGAGCGGCTGGTTGATTCAAACAGCCAACCTTTTGGTTGGCAGCTGAGCTCTTAACCACTGCACCACCAGGGCTCTTTCAATTCCAAATGGCCAATACCAGTCCATTTCAGGTCACTAATGCCCGGGATATCAGTCTTCATGCGTTCCATTTCATTTTTGACAACTTCCAATTTCCCGTGATTCATACTTCATACATTCCATATTCCAATTGCTAATAGATATTTGCAGCTGTTTCCTGTCATTTTGAGTTGTGCCACATCAGCAAATAAAGGTCCCAAAAGCTTTACAACATCCATGTCATTAAGGTCGACTCTACTTTGAGGAGGCAGCTCTTCCCCACTTGTATTTTGAGTGCCTTCAATGTAAGGGCTCATCTTCCAGCACTATATCAGACAGTGTTCTGCTGCTGTCCATAAGGTTTTCACTGGTCAATTTTTTTTTTCAGAAGTAGATCGCCAGTTCCTACTTCCTAGTCTGTCTCAGTGTGGAAGCTCCGCTGAAACCTGTCCACCATGGGTGACCCTGCTCCTATTTGAAATAGCAGTGGCATAGCTTCCAGCATCATAGCTACGTGCAAGCCACCACAGTATGACAAACTGACAGATAAGTGGCAGATTTATGCCATAGCAGTTACCAGAAGGTCCTTTTTTCACGAGTACATTTTAGTGACATTGTTTACCTTTGTCAAGCTGTATACACTTCACCTTAATTTGGTGTTCCCTGTCCCATCACCAAAAATAACAAGTGCCTTCTATCTAGAAAGTGAATCCCCTTCTCCCTGTCACTCCCCATCCCTAGTAATCAATAATGAATATTAATTTCTGTATATTTGCCTGTTCATGTCATTTCATAAAAATGAGAACATACAATATTGGGGTTTTTTTGTATTTTTGTGATGGATTTGTTTTGCTCAACATAATGTCCTCCAGGTTCATTCATGTTCCAAGATGTTTGGGGAACTCATTTTTCTTTATCATTGAGTAGTGTTTCATTGTATGTATGTACCACATTTTACTTATCTATTCATCTGTTGATGGGCACTTAAGTTGTTTCCTTCTTTTTGCTACTGTGAATAGTGCTGCAATGAACATAAGTGTGCATATATCGGTTCCTGTCACTTCTATTAGATCGCTAGGGTATATGCTCAAACCAAAAACAAAAAAACTGTTGCTTTCAAGTCAATTCCGACTCAGAGCAGAGCTGCCCCATAGGGTTTCCAAGGCTGTAAATCTTTACGGAAACAGACTGCCACATCTTTCTCCCATGGAGTGGCCCATGGGTTTGAACCACTGACCTTTCAGTTAGCAGCCTAGTGCTTAACCACTACACCACCAGGGTATATACCTAGGAGTGGAATTGCTACAGGGCTGCTACGAGTCAAAATCGCCTCGACGGAACCAGGTTTGGTTTTTAGTTATGGCAACTCTACCATATGAGGAACCACCAGACTGTTGTCCAGAATGGCTGTACCATTTTGCATTCCCACCAGCAATGGATGAGGGTTCCAATTTCTCCGTATCCCCTCCAACACCTGTTATTTTCTGTTTTTTTGTTTTTGTTTTTAATCCTAGCCATCCTAATGGGAGTAAAATAATATCTCATTGTGGTTTTCATTTGCATTTCTCTGATGGCTAACAATGTTGAGCATCTTTTCGTACGTCTGCGGGCCATTTGAATGTCCTCTTTGGTGAATTATCGGTTCATGTCCTTTGCCCAGTTTTGGATTGGGCTGTTTGCCTTTTTCTTGTTAAGCTGTAGAAATTTTCTATGTATGTTAGATATTAGACCCTTATCAGTTATGTCATTCCCAAAGATGTTTTCCCAGTCTGTAGGTTATCTCTTTACTCTTTCGATAAAGTCTTTTGATGAACAGAAGTATTTCACTTTTATGAGGTCCAAGTTATCGATTTTGTTTTCTGTTGCTTGTGCATTCGTTGTGTTTGATAATCTGTCACTGAAGGAAATTTGATCCCAAAGCTTTGCTCCTATATTTTCTTCTAAGAACTTTATGGTTTGAGGTTTACGATTTTATTTTTAATGATGCTTCTCTGCTTGCTTAGTCATCCCTGCGTGGTGCAAATGGTGAAGCATTTGACTGTTGGCCAAAAGGTTGGCAGTTCAAAGCCACCCAGAGCCCCCTCGGAAGACAGGTCTGGCGGTCTGCCTCCAAAAGTCATAACCTTGAAAACCCTATGGAGCAGTTGTACTCTGCACCCATGGGGTCACTTGAGTTGGAATCAACTGACAACAACAACTCCACTTGCTTTGCTTGCAGGCGCAGACGCACGGGAAGTGGCCTGTGAAGTGGTATGCTCCTGAGTGCATCAACTACTACAAATTCTCCAGCAAGAGTGACGTCTGGAGCTTCGGCGTGCTGATGTGGGAAGCATTTTCCTATGGGCAGAAGCCGTATCGAGTGAGCCAATAGTGTTTCCTTCGTATTTATGTGGCCGTTAGGATGGATATGCACCCAGATTATCTCTCCCGAAACCTGGAAATCACAAAATCTGTGTACCTATTCTGAGTCTTGCACTACCTTTTAAATTGGGCAGTTAATATGACCTAACTTTATTCTAAACTGAAAAAGAAATATGGAATGCTAACCGAACATTATGTATTTTTTCCATTGTGCATTACACGTATAAATAGGCATAAATATACACCCCAATCATCATGAATAGGAGTTGAAATAGAAATAATGACTTCATACCATATCAAATTTGCAGCTCAGTTACATTTTTTAGACTTTTCTATTAAAATATAATACACATTCAGAAAAGTACATAAATCCTAGGATACAGCTGGATGAATTTTCACAAAAGGAGTGCACCCATGAAACCAGCCCCAGGTGAAGAAGCAAAACAGAACCCCAGAAAACGACTCCCCACTCCATCCCGCTGAAGACACAAGCCTTACCCAGAGGGTAACCCCCTCTAACCTCTAGTATCATAGATTAAATTCTCCTGTTTTTGTACTTTATATAATTGAAACCCTACATCATGCACTCTCGTCTCTGTACATTTTTGGGGGGAGAGGATCGATTGGTTTTGCTTTGCTGAACAGTATGTTTTAAAAGCTGAGGGATGTATTGCATGTTTTCAGGGAATGAAAGGAAGTGAAGTGTCTGCTATGCTAGAGAAAGGAGAAAGGATGGCATCCCCTCCAGGCTGTCCAAGAGAGATGTACGAGCTGATGACCCTCTGCTGGACATACGAGTGAGTACCAGACACCTCCCTTCCACGCGTGCAGATGCTGGAGGCAGACGGGATGGCTGGGCATTAAAAAGAAGCATGAAGTCTGTCTTTTCATTAATTCGGAATGTGCTCCCTTCTAAATAAGAGATGGAGGGGAAAAACAAAAACTGCCTCTTCTTTAAGATATCTTGCTTCCTGGACCATACACTTGAATTCTTTAGAGTCTAAAGAATAATTTTAGACAATTACTCTGACATCTAGGGTTTTCAAATTTCAATGTAGATAATCATGGGGGACAAGTCAAAGTAAAAAGATGCTTCTAAGAGTCTGGTGGAAACCCTGGTGGCGCAGTAGTTAAGAGCTCAGCTGCTAACTGAAAGGTCAGCAGTTTGAATCCACCAGGAGCTGCTTGGAAACCATATGGGGCAGTTCTACTCTGTCCTCTAGGGTTGCTATGAGTCGAAATCGACTGGACAACAGTGGGTAATGGGTAAGCATCTGGTGCTGTATACCACATTTGACAATCAAGAATGACAAAAGTATTTCACAGGAGAATATATCCTTTCCTAGTTCGTGAAGTCCTTTATTAGCAAAGCATGGATTCTCTAAGGTAACACTTCTCTAAAAGCTACACAGACCTTGCGTCAGTGGTCCTTGACATCTGTCCTGGTTGGATCATACCTCTTGCCTCCTGGGTCACACATGCTGCTGCAGGCTTTGAAGGACACATGGATGCTGTACTCAGGCGGTATCTGGGCACCTTGCTGGGGAGGAGAAGGCACTGCTCCTGGGAATTAGAGGAGCAGCTTTTGCTTCTCCCAGGGCTGGGCAACGTGTGAGTGTGCCTTGCGGTAGCCCAGCCCCCACTTCTGGAACTTTGACGTGTGCACTTGGAGGCCTGGAGCTTGGAGATGTGGTGGCCTGTGATCGGGGCAGCTCTGGAACTTGCCATAGACTGGATACTTAGAGGACTCAGACTTGCCTCAGATATGACTGCTGCCTTGCAGGAAAACCTGGGAGGCTGAAGCCATTCCAAAAGCTTTCAGATTCTACCTGGTATTTATGCTGCAACCACCGGGGACATCACCACCACCACCACCATCAGGAGTGGAAGTAAAGAATCTCATTATTGATCTAGAAGCAACCCAGGGGGTCAGCAGCAAAGGGACCAGGCAGATCATTGGGCAGATGTTTTCCTGTCCCTGACTGCTGATGGGAACCAGGCCTGGCAGGGGTCTTCCCGTGCTGAAGGAGCCTGTCCAGGCCCTGAGGGATACACTTTGACCATAATTGTTAGTTCTAAGAAGCCCCTCAGTGGTACAAAAAACGCATTTGGCTGCTAACCAAAAAGTTGAAGGTTCGAGCCTACCCAGAGGTGCCTTGGAAGAAAGGCCTGAGGACCTGCTTCCAAATTAGATGTTGAAAACCCTATGGGGCAAAGTTCTACTCTGACATACATGGGGTCGCCAAGAGTCAGAGTTAATTTGATGGCAACCGGTGTGGGTCTTTTTTTGGTTTGGTTAGTGCTAAAGGAATAGCAAAGCGTCAGCAAGAGAAAAGTGTTATTCATGGAGTTTAGGGAGGAACCCCATTCCTTGAATCTTGACTTAATTCTCCCCAAGCCTAAACTAGAATTGTGAGAACCATTGATGGAGGGAGTGGGGCAGCTATTTTTGAAATTGAAATGGAAGTTCTAGGCTAGAAAATCAGGAGGTGAGGGGGATACATGGCAAAACAGGAGAGAAATTAACTCCTAGAGATGACGCTGTCAACCGTATGAAGATGCTGTGTGCCTGTGCTGAGACTCTCATCCCCACTTGTCTCATTCCATGGCACTCCCTCCCGAAATGACATGAAGTCTCGGACCAGGGGACATGAGAGGGTGAAGGAAGCACCTGCTCTCTGAGACTTTCCAAGAGGTCCCATAAATATACGTCGGCAACTAATCCTTTGTTTTCAACAGGGTTCCAAAGGGCCTGTAAACTGCTGGGAATGGCACCTGCTTTTCCTGGCTTTTAATGGTAGCATAAACTCCACTGTATCCTGGAGGCCCTGGCCCATTGGGACAGTTCACTGAGAGCCAGGCACAGGGGGAGACTTGGTGGTCAGGTGGTGGGCTTCACAGCACACCTCCTCGGTGCACAGCATCCATGACCCTCCGTGGTCCATCTCGACCTTTTCTTCCCAAGGTCGACACTGGGGTCCAGTGTCCGGTAGTAGCAAGCACTGCAAGTACGGGCCCTCAGGCCCTGGGAGCAGATCACCAGCCCTCCTGTGTGGGTGAGCATCCACGTGGCCATTTATAAGAAGTACTACTTCATCCTACCTGCAGCTTCCTGGGGAAGGTTTATCTTCCTCAGGGAAAGGTACTTCAGATTGTTCTGAGACAAATGAAGAAAGCTGGAATTAAAATCAACTGTGACCAAAAAAAAACACCGATTGTCATTGAGTTGATTCCAACTCATAGTGACCCTATAGGACAGACTAGAACTACCCTATAGGGTTTCCAAGGAGAGGCTGGTGGATTTGAACTGCCGACCTTTTGGTTAGCAGCGGAGCTCTTAACAGCATTTACATCTAACTTTAATACTTGCCATGTTTATTTCTGCCGGCTGCATCTTTGTGGTAGATATTTAACAGCGAAGAGTTAGAGGTGGGCAGGGGAAGGCTTGGGGGCGGTGGGTGACAGACCTTTTGGGGTGAGCTGTAGTGGGGACTGTCTCTTGGGGCAAGGCAATGGCTGCCAAACATTCCTTGGCACTTTCTTGGGGTTCCTTAGGGAATCAGAGCCCGGCAAGCTCTGCTTGCCTCAGCCCTCCCTGAACCCGCACAGCTTCCTCTGTTGTTATTTCCAGAATGATCCACTAGGGGGAGGACATGAGAGAAAACAACTTCCTGGCAGTCACCGACGTTAGAGCAAATAAGAGCAACCTTCTTTGTTTAAAATTATTTCAGAATATATGCTCCCAGCTGGAGATTTAAATTACAGTCTGAGTGAGATTTATAGGCAAGTGATGTACAGACTCAATCCTGGGTCAGACTTTACAGGAATGCCAGTTTTCCGGTTCTGCTCCAGGAACTAGATCGATGGATAGATAACCGGGAATCATCTCCAGGGTAGACGATTCAGTGGAATAGGAATAGCGACGGTGCAAGCCCCAAATTAGAAATAAACTCGATCAAACTTTGATTTTTTTTTTTTTTTCCTCAATAAACCTGTATTTATGAAGGTTAGGTTTTTCTAGTAGTGACCTGAAATGAGGGGACAGGGAACTTTGTCTAATCCTAAGTAGTTAGAAGAAGGCAGTGGTGATTCACTGGTAGAATTCTAGCTTCCCATGCAGGAGATCTGGGTTGAGTTCTCGGCCAGTCCACCTCCAGGGCAGATACTACCCATCTGTCATTGGAGGCTTCTGTGTTGCTATGATGCTGAACAGGTTTCAGTGGAGCTTCCAGACTAAGAAAGATTAGGAAGAAAGGCCTGGTGATCTACTTCTGAAAAGCAACCAGTGAAAGTCCTATGGATCACCATGGCCCAGTCCACAACCAATCATGAGGATAGTGCAGCACCGGGGAAGTGTTTTGTTCCATTGTGCATGGGGTCGCCATGAATGGGAGAGCAACTTGACAACAGCTAACAACAACAAAGTAGTTCCATGATGTAGTTGAACGAAAAAAAAAAAAAGAAGGTTTCTTGGGGCATGACCAACCAAAATCATTCAAAGGCTCTGGAGCTGGTCCATCAACACTGAGTGTCTTGGGAAGATGCCCGCCTGTGCCCTCTGCATTCTGTTCTGTTCTGTTTTGGGGTGGGATCTTTGGGAGGACTTACGAGGGACCCAGTGATGGAACCTACTAACGGGAAACAAGATACCCAGAGTATCACCCTGTAACAGTCATATGCAGAGGTTGCAGAGAAAGGAAACACTAGCTTTCAGAAAAACAAGAACAGTAAGGAGGTCTCAATAAGTAAGTGTTTTCCAGAGTCCATGTTCTTGTAACTAAAGATCCACGCAGGAAACCCAGCCACTGCTCTCCAGGGGATTCCGACTCATAGCGACCCTGTAGGACAGAGTGGAACTGCCCCATAGGGTTTCCAAGGCCGTAAATCTTTACAGAAGCGGACTGCCATACCTTTCTTCCATGGAGCGGCTGGTGGGTTCCAACTGCCGCCCTTTCAGTTAGCAGCTGAACACTTAACCATTACGCGGCCAGGGCTCCTCCATGTGTGAAAAGCTCTTGCAAATTGAGAGAAGATGCTGGGCCGCTTCATCCTGGAAAACAATCTCTAACAGTCTCCACCCTTCAGGGGTGAGGAAAGGCCTCTGTCTAAGGGACAAAACCCTGGACAGTTGGGATTCCCTGAGAGTGAGGAATGCTCTAGATGAGGGCCAAAATCCTCTTTAAAGATCTGTAAACCCAAAGTGCAGGGTGAATTTTCTAGAACCTTGGCAAGGTCTGTCCCTGGCTCCCTCCCACCCCAAATCCTTTCTGTCTCTGAGCCTGATGCATCCTAAAAGACCTGGGGCACAGTCACTTGTCCACACTCACTACCTGAGTGCCTACTGTGTGCGCAGCCACCTTTCCAGGTGCTCGGGATAGCAGTAAGTGAAGCACAGGTAAGCAGGTAAGCCCCAGTCCCTGTCCTTGTAAGAACTTACAGTGCCGTGGGGGGATGGAGGGGAGACAACAAGCTTAAAGTAAGTACATTCTCTAGCCCTTTAGTTAATCCAGTGGAAACTCAAAACTTAGCAGGGCCCAGGGCCCAGGGGTTGTTGAATGTAGGTCTGGAGTTTTAAAAGCTGTCCAATGTGAAGGTACTTTCTCAGCAGAAGGAAGTGAGAAGATTGCCTGGGGCACAGGGGCATATGGGAACTTCCAGAATGTGGTGAAGGGAATAGAAGGGATCCCTGTACATTCTCCAAGCTTTTTGAGGCTGTTTATTTTTTCATTTTTTTTCCTTTAAAAAGTCAGCCAGTTTCACCTGTTAAAAACAATCAAAACTCACTGAAATTTGACCATAAGATTTATCTTGAGCAGCTATTCTATATGCATATTGGGAGACCATTTTGATTCCAGAAAAATCAAATGGCTTGAAGCAGGTAGGTACAATGGGGCTTATAAAGAGAAGAAGCCCGTTGCCTTCAAGTCAATTCCTGACTCATAGCAACCCTATAGGACAGAGTAGAAGCGCTCCAAAGGGATTCCAAGGAATGGAACTGCCAACCTTTTGGTTAGCAGCCAAGCGCTTAACCACTTCGCCACCAGGGCTCCATAAGGAGAAGTTATTGGGTGTCATCAAATGGGTTCCGACTCACAGAGACCCTATAGGGCAAAGTAGAACTGCCCCATAGGGTTTCCAAGGAGCAGCTGGTGGATTTGAACTGCTGACGTTAGGTTAGCAGCCAAGCTCTTAACCACTACACCATCAGGGCTCCATAAAGAGAAGAAGAGGGAGTAATATAGAAGATCAACAATTGGCTAATCTTAATGCCTTCCCCCTTTACTGAGATCAAGTGATATCAAGTTACTTCTGGCCTGGCGGCCAATAATTTGGCCCTCCACCCACCTGCAACTATGAGACTTTTTGAGATTTAAATTAGGAGGTAATTGTTTGATGACTATCCCTTTCTAGCAGGATGAGACAGATTTACATTGCCTATAGAGCAGTTTCCGGCAGGTTTTTGCAGTCGAGCTTTTTATGGTTAATATTTGGTTTTGTGGATAAGAAAAACCTTAAAATCAAAGGTTTAAAATAAAATACACACACACACACCAGTTACCATCAAGCAGACTCTGACTCATGACGATTCCACGTGCATCAGAGTAGAACTGTGCTCCATAGAGTTTTCAATGGCTGGTTTTTTTTGGAAGGAGATCGCCAGGCCTTTCTTCCAAGATGCTTCTGGGTGGACTAGCACCTCCAACCTTTCAGTTAGTAGCAGAGCGCGTTCACCATTTGCACCACCAGGGACTCAGGTGTCTGTAAAATTTGTTTAGAGATTGCAAATGGTTAAAAAACGTTTACCCGTGGTTTACTTACATCAGTACCTCACTTGTCAACTGTGACAGGAAAGGAAAGCCTTGCTATGTTAAGATTTAAAATAGGCAGCATCTGCGCTTTTGCTTCTGACGTGACAGTTTTTGAGTTTTAATAAGAACTCCGATACCACTAGCACGTTTTCAGAAAATACAGAGCCATCCATTTGAGATGTGGGGAGGGAAAGTCTAAATTGTGGCCAGATTCTTTTCCTCCAAGATTAGGAATAAAAAATTAGATGCATGTCTACAGCACAATGACCAACTAAATGTTTTCAGACACATTCTTTTTCTCTAGACTCACAAGGGATTAAAAGGTTTTGACTTCTTGTGCAAAATATGGAAATCTTGTCAAAATGAAGATTTGGGCTCTGTAGGTCTGGGACAGGCTTGAGACTCTGCATTTCTCACAGGCTCCTGGTCCCACCATGCTGGGGGCTGGGACCACACTGTGAGTTGCTGGCTCTAGAGTCAGCCACTAGGGGGCACAACCATTCATAGTCTCATGCCTGCAAAGATCCAACACTTACAAGATCATGATCAAAAATACAACTGTTGGTTTCTACTGATCTGAAGCAAAAGAGAAAGAAGGAACCAAAGACTCAAAGAAGAAACTAGTCTACAGGACTAATAGTCTACATGAAATATGACCTCATCTACCCTGATACCAGAAGAACTAGATGGTACCTAGCTACCACTACTGACTATTCTGGTCAGGGCCACAATAGATGGACCCTGATAGAATGGGAGAAAAATGTGGAAGAAAACCTCAGATTCTTAAAAATCTATACTTACTGTACCAGTTTAGACCGGAGGACTTCCTGAGGCTATTACCCTAAGATACTCTTTAAACTTTGAACCAGAACTAGCCCCTAAGATCACCGTTTAGCTAAATAACAGATAGGCTTACCAAATAAAGACTATCACCCGTGAGTACTGTGCTCCTTTAAAAAATAATCTATATGAGACCAAAAGGTCAACAATTTCTTTAAAACAAAGATGAGAAGTAGGTAAAGGGGCAGGGAAACTAGTTTAATAGAAACAGAGCAACCAGAATGGAAATAATGAGAATGTTCACGTATTGTGAAGAATGTAACCAATGTCACTGAACAATTTGTGTGGAAATTGTTGAATAGGAACCTCAACTGTTGTGTAAACCTTCACTGAAAACACAATAAATTATTATTTTAAAAAGGTGTGAGAGACCATAACCAGCACATTTTCACAAACTCATTATATTAGTTTCCTAGGGCTGCCATAAAAAGTACTACAAATTAAGATGGCCTAAAACAACTGAAATTTATTGTCTCACAATTCTGGAGGCTATGGTGACACAGCGGTTAAGAGCTTGGCTTCTAACCAGAAGGTCAGCAGTTCAAATCCACCAGCTGCTCTTTGGAAACTCTATAGGGCAGGTCTATTCTATTCCATAGGGTCACTATGAGTTGGAATCGACTCGATGGCACCAGGTTTATTTTCTTTTCAGTAAGTTAGAAATCAAGATTCCAGCAGAGCCATGCTCTCTCTGAAAGCTCTAGGGGAAGATCCTTCCTTGCCTCTTCCAGCTTTTAGTGGTTGCTTGCTGGAAGTGAAGAGGACTTGAAGCACTTACTGATGAAGATCAAAGACCACAGCCTTCAGTATGGATTACACCTCAACATAAAGAAAACAAAAATCCTCACAA